TATGGTAATTGTTCTACATATGTTTTGTGTTATTGTTTTTATATTTTGATTGAGTTTTTGTTAAATTAGAAATAAACAACCTTTCTTGAGTTCAGTACAATTATTTAATAATTAATCTAATGACATGGTGCCGAAACCCACACGGAATAGAAATAAGAGGTATGACTTTAAGGAAGATGATGATATCCATACAAACCATACAGAAGACAAAGATAATAATGTAAAACCACCAAAATGTCTTGTGGTTTCAAGTACTCAGATGGCTCCTTCTTGGAAGAAATGGAAGCAACAGTGGAACTGGTACTACACAGCTTCTGGCCTTGATAGGAAATCCAATGCAGTACAGGTAGCATCATTTATGTCTAGTTTAGGCCCAGATGTTATAGATATATATAACAGTTTTGGTTTCATGGATGATGAAGATATTGAATTAGATGAAGTTGTTCAACGATTTGATAAGTTTTTTGTTGGTGAATCTAATGAAGTATTTGAGAAATTTTTGTTCAACAAAATTACACAAGAAACCCATCAAAGTTTTGAAGATTTTTTTACAAAATTGGTTAACCATGCTAATTCTTGTAATTTTGAGCAACTAAAAAACAGTTTGATAAGAGATAGAATAGTTATTGGCATATCAGATTCTAGCTTAAGGGAAAAGCTACTTTCTACTGATAAGCTTACCCTAGATGATGCAATTAGTAAGTGTAGGGCACATGAACAAGCTAAGAAACAACTAGCAGAAATAGCCTCTGACAGCCCTACAAATGTTAATGTCGTTAAAAGGGACGATTCCTTTTCTAGGCCTACGTTACAAAATTCAGTCTTTGACTGTAAACGTTGTGGTTTACAACACTCTAGAGGCCAATGTCCAGCTTTTAATCGAACTTGCAATCAATGCTTGACTAAAGGTCATTTTGCTAAGATGTGTAAAACTCGAAAGAATCTCCCTAGTAAGAGTAAAAATACTGATATTTTAGAGGTTGTAGAGATTGAAGATTCTGATTATCCGTTGCATGTTGATTGCATCTCTAACCCAGTCAACAATCAAGATTGGACGGAATTATTAGAATTGCCAAATAACAAAACTGTGCAGTTTAAATTAGATACTGGGGCTCAGTGCAATGTTATTTCCCATGATTTGGCACTAGCTTGTAATCTGAAAATTGTACCTTCTGCAACTAAATGCCTTGTTTCTTTTAACAACCAAAAAACGCCAGTTTTTGGTGAAGCCATTTGTCCAGTTGTAACCAAAAAGTCTCATAAAGACACTGTCTTGTTTGTAATAGTTCCAAATGGGCATCAATCAATATTAGGAAGAGTATCATGTGAAACCCTAGGGTTCGTAAAACGGATTGCTGGTATAATTGATCAGTCTATAACCCAGACAGCACACTTTATCCCAGGGACATCCCATAGTAGTCCCATATGTCCTGAGAATGTCTCGGGATATGTGCGCTATCCTCAGGATATCCCGCAAAATCCCGGGACGAGTACGAAATCCACAGGATATCCTACAATATACCGTAATGTCCCGGGATTTGTAAGTTAACCTCAGGATATCCTGTAAAGTCCCGGGATATGTACGAATGCCATAGGATATCCCAGAATGTCCCATGACATCCCGGGACATGTAAAAAATCCACTGGATATCCTGTAATGCCCCGTAATGTCCCGGTAACAAACTGAAGAAAAAAATACTACCACTGATGAAATGTACAGTATATCGTATATCTAAATTTAAATGTTCAACAAGGCCAATATATAATAATTTGTTTTTTTCACTAGTGCTTTCAGAAACTTGGTTTCCATCTTCAGGCTGTGTTTACACAAGTACAGAAAGTAAATATTTACTTAATAAATTAATTTTAAACAAAGTTAAAACAGATGATTTAAAGGATATTGGAAAAATAAAAAATAATATTAGAAAAATTAATCTTTTGAATTTTGGGTATGTTACAGTGTTGTTCTTCATGTAATTATTTTCAGTAATTCCGAATTAATAATTGGGCCGTCTTCATTATTTAACAAATAATTTTGGTCTGTTTTTTTTTTTTCTAAAAATAAGATTCCCACGCATTAAGATGTTGAGGTTTTATAATTTATTTTAAAAGTTTAAGGTTTCCCAGATTGAAAATATGTCTTGTTAATACTATGGCTAGCAAGGGTTGACTTTACTTTACTGACATATTACTACCACTGAGTTCAGGAAAACTATAGAGTTCTATCATAGTTGTGTGAAATGTGAATTTAATTCTAACTTTAAATTAATAAAACAACAAAAAACTAATTTTAATCATATAACAATCAATTATTACAGTGCTAATCTAATGGTGATTAAATAATCTATATTCAAATACCAGTATCCTCTCCAACTACCAGAAAAACAATTCAACTACTTGAGGCCTAAACAGATTAACAGAATCATATATAGCCTATACTGTAGTATCAAAAATATTTTAAGTATTGCGACCATTGCAACTGTCGGCTACTCTTTAACAACTTGAAAACACCCATAATCAACAAGCGCAGATAGCTCAGGAGGTAAGGTAAGAGGCTCACAAGGCGAAGGTACCAGGTTCGAAACCCGTCTGGGCCAAAAACTTTTTTCTCGTTTTTTTCTTCAAAATTTGTGTTTATTAACTATTTAATCAATTTACTAAACTTATAATTAAGCTTTTCATACTAAATCTATATTATTTTGTGTTTTTTATGTTCAGGCCCAGACCACACTTTATCCCAGGGACATCCCATAGTAGTCCCATATGTCCTGAGGACTACCCTGGGATGACCTCGGATGTCCCACGGATATGCATGTGAGCTTATCCGTAGGACATCCCCGGGCGGGGACATTACGCATTCCTGTGGATATCCTGTGATATCCCAAGTTGACCATAGGACCACTATGGGATATCTTGCATATCCTGTCGCAATATCCGTGGGATGTCCTGAGGAGAAAGTGTGCTGTCTGGGAAGTGGATTATATGATGGAATAGGGTGTTTAAAGTCTTTTGAGTATGATATTGATCTTGTGGAAAATCCTAGTTTCAAAATACACCCACCCAGGCGAATACCCCATCCAATACGTGACGCAGTGAAAGCAGAAATAGACCAAATGGTAAAAGACAAGATTATTACTCCGGTAAGTGAGCCTACTCCTTGTGTGTCTCCTATGGTCATAGTCCAACAAAGAGACAAAATACGTCTATGCATTGACCCAACTGATCTTAACAAAAATGTGAAGCGTAGACATTACCCATTGGCTACATTAGTGGACATCTCAGCTAGATTGAATGGTTCTACTTTATTCACCATCCTTGACTGTAAAAAAGGATTCTGGCAGATAAAAGTTACGAAGAGAACATCCAAACTACTAACTTTTTCAACACCTTGGGGGCGCTACTCTTGTTTACGCATGCCCTTTGGTTTGGTATCGGCCCCTGAAGTGTTCCAGTATATTATGTCAGACTTGCTCAAAGAAATTAAGAATGTAGAGTATTCAATGGATGATATACTCATTCACAGTAACAATGAAAGAGACTTGCAAAAGATCACGAATGAAGTAATGACAAAGCTGAGTGAATCAGGACTTACACTTAACAAAGAAAAGTGCATATTTGCCTATAGACAGTTCGTACAGTTTCTGCAGTTTTTTTAATACGGACAAAATAATGAGAGCATTCTATTGGCTGAGGGAACACCATTACCGCAACGATACGGTTTGGAGCCATCGGCCTCGGTGGTCTAATTGATAACGTGCGGTGCTGAGAAACTGGGGTAGCCAGTTCGAATCACATTGGTGGAATTAACTTTTTGTCTAATATTTTTTTTCATTTTCAGCAAGTTTGGTTTGGTCATGACTGTTTAATTTTACAATTAAAACAGTATAAAATTGATTTTGAGCTATTTATAGTTAGTTTTATTTTATGAAAATATTATTTTTTTCGATTATTAAACCTTCATTCTATTTGTTCATTATCAGCAAGTTTGGTTAGGTTATGACAGTTTAATTTTATAATTAAAAATCATAAAATTGAATTCGAGGCATTTATAATTTTATTTTATATGAACAGAACTATTTTTTTCGATTAGTAGGCCTAAACCTTCATTCGAATTTTTCTTTATCAGTAAGTTTGGTTAGTTAGGTTAGGTTATGACAGTTCAATTTTATAACCAAATATTATATTTATATTTTTTCTTAGTTTTATCATTAAAATTTGTTTTATAATTTCTCATTTTTTAACTCTCATATTGTCCGTATTTAAAAACTGCAGCTGAAATAAAAATTGTGCTTCCCCCGCTCAAACTTGTAAACAGTTTGTCAAACTTGTAAGGTAAACTTCGAGAAAATACCTCACAACCAACATGGACGGTAGACATGAAAAACAACCTTCTGATTTTACAATGGGGCGAGAAGTCTACTTTTGTTGGTTAGTCTACGGTAATATCAAATTTTGTAAATGATTAGTCTTTCGGCCAAAATAGTTTTGAAATTGATCAAATGTCAAGAAATAAAGTAAACTTCTTGATTCATGAAAAAACAAAACGCCTTCTACTTTAACTGGTCAGAACCATTGATTATATTATCTTTCTTGCTTATATGTATACATTATATAAATACATAATCAATGACAGAACTGACCTTAAAACTAACTTCACTTCAGCTGATCCAAATATAGTGAATTTATAAACGAGTATGAAATTATAGATTCAATCAATGTTTCAAATTATTGTAGGTGATCTAAATGCATACATTAGTATGGTCACAATTTCAGATTAAAGTATTAAACATTAACCATATATGCATTTAACATGCAATAATAGCTAAAAATTAACTAAGGATTGTAATGTGGTGTTTAATATAACTACAAATACTTTATATAATACTGAAAATCATTAAACATTAACATCTTTTTACAGTATGCTTTAAGCTTTTGGTGTCTTTTTTATTGGCCTTGTCTCATCCAAATGTCAAGCAAAGCATCGTCGTCTTGGGCTGAGGTCTTGTACATTGCAGGCAGACGACAAATGTCGACAGCCCTTAATTAGGAAGTAGAAAAAGTTATATTTTATATTATTTTAGATTTTTATATTTGTCATCTAAAAAGATTAACTAGAAAGGTGAGTACAGTTAGTTTTTCATTTCCATAACTGTGAGTGGATCCTTCTGTATACCATTTTAGTTTTGGATTTTAAATACCATTTATTAAATAGGCCTACCATAATTATTGAAAAGTAAGTTTAAAGGTAGACAATGTTTTCTTTTGTTTAATTTGAATCATCAACGCTTTAATTATACTTTATAACAATTTGAACAGCGAGGTTTACTTTAGGATGATTTTATAATGCTTTAATTTACATAATGTATCATTAAGAACCTAGGGGACTCAATTTGCCTCAGGCTAGGGACTTACTTTTGTAAGTTAGATAGGCCTATTGAACGAATTTAATTTTGACAGAAGATTTTTTAAATATTCATCCATACACATTTGAATCCAACTGGTTATAAGCTATTAATTAACACGTACGCTACCTGTCACCACATAGGCTATTTGCGACGCCAAAGTCATTGCCATGGCCCGTGGTATATATACATTTTAATATTACTCATAGACCAGGTGTCACTTGGTTAACAGTACACACATACTGCGGGCCAGTTATGCAGCCAAGTAAAAATCAGTTTTTCCAACCATCATATGACGTCACTAATCATCATAACATGTCATTATAACTTAAGCCGCAGACCAAGTGATGCACATATGTGACATACATCACTGTAGACCGCTGCAGAGAATTTGGGGCCCTTCAAATAGACTGTTACGAAGATAAGCTTGTTTTAATAACATTGGGTAACACAAAAATTGGTGACATTAGTCTATTTAAATGTGACCAGCTGTCGCATATATGCAGTCTATGGATAGAAACCAGCTGTGGCATATGTGTGTTGCTGGTCCATATGAATGAAAAATGTAGTACTATTGCGGTAGCGAACATGTTAAAGAAATAAAAGAGATAGGCTCAATAGTATGTATTAGTTTTACACCGTAAGTTTATAATTATCATTGCCCCTTGACAACCCAAACTGTGTGATAGGTGGCAATCCCACCCAGGCTGGGAACCACTACCTGAGACAATCTGGAAATAGCTTAGCATTTGACAATCGACGACAAAAAAACTATCTTTTCTCTAACATATCTTAAACTTTCTTCCTACACAATTATCATCCTTTAAAGAAAATTGTTCTAATTAATTAAAAGGACCTATTAAAATTTTAAAATGTACAATTGGCCTAGCAGTTAATATTTTTTAAAGTGTTACATTAAATTAACCTTTGTTAAATTAAGTTATTCTGTAGCATTACTAAGTTATTGTAAGGTTAGTCGGTAGCGCCATGAACTTTGGGCCCAAGGCAGCGATTTTGTCGGTTCAAATCCTAGTAGGCCTACCTGCCACTACTTCTTATCAGTCACTTCACCCTTGTACTGTACCGGCTCACCTTAGTCATATGTACAGGCAAATGTAAGGTTAAAAAAGCAGCCAACTTCTAAAAAAAATGTTATTTTATTTAAAATATTTGGTTTCAGACTGATCTTTGATTGATGCGTAGCAGCCGCAACAATAGGTAGAAGACGTGCAAGGGCTAGCATGGCGCGCGCAGCTCCCAACAACAATTTGTCCACCTACAAGTTGGTGGTGGTCGGAGACGGAGGTGTTGGCAAAAGTGCAATAACCATCCAGTTTTTCCAAAAGCTATTTGTTACCGATTACGACCCGACTATTGAAGACAGCTACATTCAACACATAGAAGTGGATGGTCAAATGTGTATATTAGATGGTGAGTATTTGTAAATGGGTATCACCAATTGAAAAATATCTTCACCTTTAGTTTAGACTGCAGAAATAAGTTTTTAATCAATCTTAACTAAGTAAAAAACAAAAAAACCTATTTTTTTTCTCAGTCACTTCAGTTTGAGCTCAAGGTAAATAGCCTAAGTTACACTGCTCATGATATTTTAAGTTTTTAATGAGTCTGATCCATTAAGCTCGTGACAGAAATAAGGTAGGTCGTTTAGGTGAGAAGAGCATTTTTATACAGGGTGATTTGTACTCAGCGTGACAAATTTTTTTTTTATGTAAGTGCAAAGTAAATGAAGTGTGATGATGCATATCAAATGTTCCAAGTCTCAAAATTAGCGTCCCAAAAAATTATTTTATGTTTTTAAAAATAACCATGCTTTTAAACTTAATACAGCGATTTCTCAATTACCTGTGTATGGATTTGAGTAGATAATGTCATTTTCAAGTTCTACATTAAAAAATTTGTCACACTGAGTACAAATCACCCTGTATTTGAGCCTCCACCAGAAGCATGAAAGGTGGTAGAGGTCGTGTGTTTCCTGGTGAAGCCTGGGGGTAGGGTTGAAGCCCATACAAAACCGGTTTAGAGCCACTCTAACCACCCACCCTCCAGGCTTCACCAGGAAACACACGAACTCTAGCTACCTACACATAAGTGGCAACACTGCAGCCTACTACTGAAACAGCTGTTGCACTAATACATTCTGCCCAATATATTATCACTAGCTGTAACCCGCGGGCTTTGCCCCGTTAAACTTCTTAATTTTCAAGATTATCTCGTTTGCATGGCTCAATCACGTCCTGGTTGAAGTTTGTTTGCTACGCTCACTCACCTTTAGGTTGGAGCTTGTTCGCTACGCTCACTCACCTTTAGGTTGGAGCTCGTTCGCTGCGCTCACTTGCCTTCAGGTTAGCTCGTTCGCTACGCTAACTCGCCTCCAGGTTGAAGTTCGTTCGCTACGCTCACTCACCTTTTGGTTGCAAATTAGCTGTTGTCATTGATGTATAAGAAATAATAGTGCTGCACCCTGTTGGTAATCCTTGTAACTTTAATGCTATTGAACATCATAGAACAGAACCAACTTGTTTAATTGAAACAGCTGTTAAGATTCATTAATTCCATTTCTCATAAGGTTAACATGGGAAACTCCAGAGCCACTGGGGCGGAGCCCTTTTAAGAATTTCGAAACGGGAAATAGTTTACGTCCGATTCGCATACCTACAGAATTTACACACCAAATTTCATAACGATCGGTGAAGTCGTTCCGGAGGAGTTTGCAGACAAACACTGTGACACGAGAATTTTATATATTAGATATATATATATATATATATATATATATATATATATATATATATATATATATATATATATATATATTATTATAGTAGGATGTTTACTTACATGTTATTCCTGTTATCATCATGGAAATAAGCCGGCCGGTGCCAACACTATGGCCTTGTATACAGCAGTCTATTTATGCCAAACAAAAGCCATACAACAAAATAATGTTTGTCCCTTTGAATATAAAAATTTAAAAACTATACTTGGTAGATCATTATTATACTTTTTTTATAACATTATTAAAAACCTTTACAGTGCTAGATACAGCTGGGCAAGAAGAGTTCAGTGCAATGCGAGAACAGTATATGAGGAAAGGCGATGGCTTCATGTTGGTTTATTCTGTAACTGATGAGCAAAGTTACGAAAATATAGTAAATTTCCACACACAGATTCTCCGAGTAAAAGACAGGTAAGTGTAATATGCTTACTGCTTATGCATATTAGGCTATTGTCAGCTAACTATAGGCCTATCTGGGACCACTGCACTGTTAGAGGTTATCAGTAGCCTTAAACACTTTAAAATAACAGTTGATTAAACCTAAAAAAACCTGATAAAAAAAGGTCTGGGTATTTGTTACGGTCGAATGCTAAATCTACTGAAAAAATTTGTCGGAAATTTCACGCAAAGGTAGATGATGGACCCGGTCCACCTAAGTTAGACCAATTCATGTCTTTAAAATCCCTTTGAGATACTGCTGTATGCTTTGTGGTGATGTAAAGTGCAAATTTTAGCCAATAAGGTAGACCTCGTACATTTACGCAAGGTGTCTAAGGACCATGGTCGTGAGCTGGCGCAGAGACTGATCATCCCAGCTTAGACATGTTTTTCTACATGTTTACCCTCTTTCGCAGAGATACCTACCCGATGCTCCTGGTAGCTAATAAGGTAGACCTCGTACATCTACGCAAGGTGTCTGAGGACCATGGTCGTGAGCTGGCGCAGAGACTGAGCGTCCCAGCCTACATAGAGACTAGCGCTAAGGACCCTCCACTCAACATTGACACTGCCTTCCAGGAGGTAAAAGCTCTTAAAGTTATATGCTTACTTGAACTTCAATGTTGTTATTGCTACCTCAAAAATTGCAATTGAAATGGGTATGCAGACAGGTGTATTCATGCCAAGAGTGTCAATCAAAGATGTGTGTTATAGGTGAGATGCTCATTGTAAGTAGCGTATCCAGGGGGGGGGGGGGGTGTTATTCGGTGTTTGATCCCCCCCTCCTTTGACCTCAAAAACAATAAAATTGACATTTAAAATTGTTTCTACAATTGAAAAACCTGTTTTATGTGTCTCTAAATAGCCTAAAAACTTAAGTTTATTGGTATAATTTTCAGACATTTTCCAGGAGAGCGCCCCTTGGTGTAACCCCCCCCCCCCCCCCCCCTTAGGATCATCTTAGTTACTCCTATGCTCATTTTAGCTTTATTAATGGATAAGAACCACCTGGGTTTTGTATTTAACCACGGCCACTTATTTTTAGTACTTACGGTGGTAGTTGCGTTTAGGATGGTATATAGATTTGGTTTTTGTTTTATCCGTAGTTAGTTTATGTTTTTTGATGAATTAAATTACCATACACTTAGCGTATATTTTAGCCAAAGCCACAGTAATTATCATTTTCTTTGTGCAAGGTATGCTATTAGTTAAGGTAGTTTCATGTTGTTACTGGGATAATTGCAGGTAAAACTTTAATTTCAATAAAATGTTTGTAACAAATGTATGCAATAATCGCAGACAAATAACAATAAAATCAGTTAATATTTATTTCCAACCACTCATAACTATGTAAAGTTTGTCTTGTATGGATTTGATGCTAATGGAAAAGCAGTACCAAATTTATGGTTTTGATCCATAAATTTGGTGTGGTAATATTACCATAATGTCGTCATGAATATAATCCAGCAATCGTAAAGACTTTAATAATCATCGTCTCCCTTGTTTAAAGCAAAATCTTGAACATCTCCCGTGATCATGAAGGCATTATCATTTTATCCAGCAAAATCATATACATCTCCTGCAATGTATATCATCTTCAATGTCTCCACCGAGTGCAAGAACATCTTGAAACATCTGCCATGATTGGGGAGATGTCATCATTGTTGCTCACGATCGCAGCAAAATCTCAAGCTGTAACGATCATGAAGACATTATCATTGACTCCAGCAAACGTGGTGATATTAACAGCATCGCTCACGGTGACGGGGACATCATAATTGTCGCCCACAGTCAAAGGAAAATCCTAAATATGTAACAGTGTCTCTTTTACATTCGCATGTATTCCATAGCCGCGGCAAAATCATGAATATGTAGTGCGCTCAAACAGAAACGTTATCATTCCCCCTTCATAACCCTCTATAGCGTGCTCCCGACACGCTTACCTTTTTTTTTTGTTATGTGGCAGCTAGATTTTTTTGTGCCAGCACTGCATTCTGCCATAGCTGTAAAATGATTTTGTGGGCTGTTTTGGTTAAGGTCGATTCACACATATCAGTCCAGTCACAGTTCCATTACAGTCCAGTCACAGTTGCATCCGCAATTTCTCAGTCAAACTGTCAGTCATTTGGTTGCAGTCACTCTTCCATCACTTTATTTACAGTCAAAAATGTTTAGTTAAAACACAATATTCTATCAAATGTTCATCGTCCGTCTTGTTGATTGTTACAAACATTACTTAAAGTTAAAATATAAACTTGATCATTTAAATAAAAAGTACTTTTTTCTAATCTCAAACACGTCCGTCAGGCGTCCGAACAATCCAAAGATATCGGTGAAAAGAAATCTGCAATTGACTGACGGATGCCGGCAGAGCGACTGACTGAACTGCAATGGGTGAGTGTAGATAGCGCCATAGAAAATCCATTAACGAATATTTTTGTTAACTGTGACAAGTCTGATGTGACTGGAGCTGCTGTAACTGATGTGTGTGAATCGACCTTTAATCAGTATTTCTGTTAAAAGGTTTTTAGTTAATAGAGGTTCTACTGTATAGGCCCCCTAATATCATTTGTATACTTAAATTCTGACACTACTAGTTTATTATGCTCATTTGCCGTTTTGACTACTTTTATATATTGTATTTTTTCCTTGATTCATTTCCAGTCCACTCCACTCTTTGCTTCTCCAATATCAGTATTTGGCCCATGATCATACACAAAATGAGTTCCATGCTGTCATAGTTATTAGACCAGCCTCACCTCCCTAACAGGCTTGGATGCCTGAAAGGTAAACTGAATCACAACCCTTACACATAGGCAATATTCCTGTCGTCACATTCACAGCTGATTTTAAATGTTCGGATTTCAGATTGTGAGAATAATAAGAAATCAGCCCCCGGCAGAGGCAGAGAAAAACCGCCATCGTCGCCGATCCAAAAAATGTGTGTTGATGTAAAGGGAATGTAACCTACTTCCGATTCTTCAAAAACCTACAAGTCTGCCGGTATGGTATTCTTATAATGTTTTTACGTAAGAAACTGTATAAGGATTCATCATCAAAATGAGCTTTAACGCCCATTGAGAGTTTGATAATCTGCTTCTTGTAAGCCTACTATTTTTGCCCATATTTATACTGTTTTTATTTGTTTGTGACATTTTCTTTACATTTATTATTGTACACTTTTCTTATTTTAACCATCACCAGATGGTGAAATATATTTTGTTACTCAGTTGCTATTAAATCAGTAATATATAGGCCTACAGTTGTAACAACTGTTTCTGTCATGTATTTTACTGTACAAAAATTGAATCGTAAATGCTTTCTAGTCAATAGTTGATCCAAAAAGAATTTTATTGTTTGTTGTCCATTGATAGTCAGACTTTCTAGTCTCATTTATACAATAAGGGTTGTGTAAGAGTGACTTTATTATATATAGCCTATTTGAGGAAGTGTGAAAAATGGTGGGAATTCAATATTTTATTATTTTCTAATTTTAACAGTATTTACAAACTTTAAATTTGTTGTTTATTTTAATCTGTTGAGGTGATTTAAGAATTAATGAATAATAGAAATATACAGTAGAATCCTTTAGTTTAATGAATGCAATATAAACCAATTAATTACATTAAAAAATCCATCAACCAAAGATTGAATTTAAGTGTTGTCATTTACGACTTAATATGGGTTTGTGAGTTTAATATTAGCTAACTGCCCTTTGTTTGGTTTTAATAAAACCTAATGCCTAAGCCCACATTCATGATGAAATATTCCATAAAATTAATGCAAGATTCTATGACTCCACTACAGAGAAGTAAGATAAAGAGGAATCATTCAGTGGTATACTTAAATGGTGTCTTGCACTAGTTGCTGGTGTCTAGCACTAGATGCTGTTGTCTAGCACTAGTTGCTGGTGTCTAGCACTAGTTGTTGTTGTCTAGCACTAGTTGCTGTTGTCTAGCACTAGTTGCTGTTGTCTAGCACTAGTTGCTGTTGTCTAGCACTAGATGCTGGTGTCTAGCACTAGATGCTGGTGTCTAGCACTAGTTGCTGGTGTCTAGCACTAGTTGCTGTTGTCTAGCACTAGTTGCTGGTGTCTACCACTAGTTGCTGGTGTCTAGCACTAGTTGCTGTTGTCTAGCACTAGATGCTGCTGGTGTCTAGCACTAGATGCTGGTGTCTAGCACTAGTTGCTGGTGTCTACCACTAGTTGCTGGTGTCTACCACTAGTTGCTGGTGTCTACCACTAGTTGCTGGTGTCTACCACTAGTTGCTGGTGTCTACCACTAGTTGCTGGTGTCTACCACTAGTCGCTGGTGTCTAGCACTAGTTGCTGGTGTCTAGGGCAAAGTCCAACACCGCCCCTCTCGCCATCATGTACTACAACGATCACGGAATTACCTCGGGGTACTTGCTTCCTAGTTCCTCACAAGGATATTCCTGGCACAACATAATAGACCTGAAAGCACACAGTATCCTAAGCAAGTTTCCTCTTTACCTTACTTCTCCGTGCTTATAATAACCTTTTCTTTGAGGTTTACGGATTAGCAGGAAACTGGTGTAGTGTATAAAATATTATGCGGTGGCCAAAATGTTCCTACTCATTAATATATTTTTACATTTAAAAATCACTATTTTTAAACAGAATAGTTTTTAACCTTACAAATTTTGCATTTATTTACATATTGTTTAAATTTTTTATTCCATATACAATTTTAGCCAAACATTTTTAACTTCTTTGTCAACTCATGTTATGAATGTGTTTATTCATTATAGGGTAATGTAATGTACGTACTGTTAAATTGTCCATTATCTGTCTATTTGGTGAAGGGAGAATAATGCTAACATGATGCAAGAAATGTAGGAAACATTAAGGATAATTTTTTTTATTTTCCATAAGCTTGGAGCTTCATAGAGAAGTAATAAATACACTAAATACAGATTAATCGTCAAAGCAAGTTGGGATCAGAAATATCATCATTGATTGTGTTTCTCCTATCAATCAAAAGTGTATGACTTTTACCGATTTCTGTTAAGTACATTTGTTACACCTACCGGTTTTGAAACGAGACGCGAGTATGAGGTACTATTTTATGAATATTTACTCTGTATTTGTTACATCTTTGTGGGGCCTTTAAGGCCAGATGCTGTGTATGCTGTGTTATTAAGTGCGTTCATAGTGGAGCTGTGATAAACGAAACGATGAGAGCAGGGATGTTGGTCAATTAGTTCTGTTGTTATAAGTAGTGCTTTGCTTCTATTGGAACAGACCTCAGACTTAAACAAAAGTACGTCTGTTTCATCTACGCATTGCTAGGATCGGAGCTTGTATCGTTAATCGCAGCTCTGACACGAACACACCCTTATAGTCAAATATTTGTTTAGTTCCTTGAACAATTTTTACTGTGACTTCATATTTTTCATAAAATGTTTCTACCTATAAGAAAGATAAAGATTATTGAATAAGTAAATGAGATCAGTCTGAACAACTTCGGCATTTAAAATATTTTATAGATGTTATTGACTAGTAATTTTTTATCATAACAGTAAATGCTTTATGGTTTGTATAATCTTATTTCCTAATTTCGTAGAAAATGTTGGTTTTAAATTATACTACTAAACCATGTAATTCCAACCCTGTTATTTTGGTTGGTATTGTAATAAGATAAGTATTATTAAATATGAACGCTTTATAATTTCTACAAAACAATAATTTTGTCATGTTAACCTAAATTTATGCTGTGTTATTTTATATTTTACATTGTCTTTTTGTGAGTCCCTTCAAATGTTTGCAGTGTTTCTGAATTACTTTGATGAAAGGTATGTCAGTTTGTGCTTTTCCAAAACCTTTCTCAGGTGTTTAGATATTTTTAGTTTGGTATAGCCATGAACCTTCCTACTAAGGAAAATTTACAAAATTTTAGCTATAAAACCCCTTAAAAAACTTGAAATCTAATTTTTACAGTAAACTAGTTATCATGACTTTTATAAAAGAAAACCCCCAAAAACAGGAGGATGCCAAATACTATCCCCTGGAAAACCACCCACCCAGGTAAAATGTGACTCACAAAATCTGCCACCTAATCAATATGGGAGCCATGTCTGTGACTGGAATACTACCCAAAATAATATATAAGATGCAAAAAAAATAGCAAAATGAGATGCAATATTGAAATTTTAATTCAAATAATTCTGTTTGATAACAGAAAAGGTATGTGAGGAATATCAAACAGAATTTTGGAATCTTACAGCAAGTTTAGTTGGTCAGGTTAGTTTAGAACAGTTTGACAAGGAAACTTGAGTGTCCGTGACTTGAAAACTGCCCCCTCCCCACCCATCTCTGACGTAAAAATTACGTAGGAACCTGCTTGGGTGGTTAGTTATCCAGGGGCGGACTTCCGGCGACTTAAAAATGGATCCAACAGACAGTAAACAGTTAAATTTAGATGTTAGCAGAAACCTATTATTTTTCGATACTGAAGTTTTATGACGCATTATAATTCAGAAAGACTTATGCATACCAAGTTACTTACAAATGGCAGCGGGAATTCACTTCTGAAGTGAAGTAAAACATGGTGCTATTTTATTCATCTTTATGTAATTATGTTTTATAAAACGCTTCCTATAGAGGGTGTATATACCCACCAATTATATATTTTATGTTAATCGGTCTTTATTTTTGTGTTGGTTGTGAAAATTTTTACTATAGTTCTTACATTCATATCGCTTTTTTTTCCTAGAGAGGTATTATTGTACACTTTGTTTTAATGCTTTGCATTTTATGATTGTTTTCCTGTGACAGCAAGAGTTTAACTGTTTGTTTATCTATTGCTTATTTATTTTATATTGTTACAACTGTAACATTTTGTTACAATTTGTTTTGTATCACTAACAAACCATGTTCTAGTACAATAAGTAAGGTTTATATATGTACAAAATGTAGTAAACATATATGTTTAATAACAAAATATATAAAATCACTATTTTTATTTGAAGTGTACGTGTAAATATTACGATAAAAGTAATATTTTTAGCCGTGCTTTCTTAAAACTGTATCTTAGTATTACAGTTTAATTTTTTCCTTACGTATTTTTTGTCAACAAGTAAACATAACAAATTAACATTTTTACTCCTAAGCAAAACTTCTTTTTCTTTTTGAAAACACAAACTTGGGACCAATGGTGCGTAAAGAATATTTGGATTTGTTTAATACGGTTACAATTTAAACTACACTAATTTAGTCCAAACAATGGTAAATTCTAATTAAAATCATTCTAATTGAACTCATTTAAAGTTTGTTTTTTTATTGTGATTAAATAGGAGTACTACAATCCAAAATACATAACCCTAACATTGATAAAATTGAAACTACTTAGTATTTACTGATGGTAAAATATAAGTATTGATCTATCTTTTTAAAACCTAACTTATTTTGTGTTATTATTTCACTCTTTGTAAATTGTTTAACACTTTTTGTGGTAAAACCAATTCTCTGTTCATTCTTGAGCAATTTTAAAAACTATTTCCAAGATTATTGAAAGTAAAATTACATGAAAACTTGTCTTATTTTTTATTAAATGAGTTAATTATGTTTAGTAATGATTGGTTATGCAAATTTTGATTTTGTATATGTCTTAGATCTAAGAAAGTAGTTATACTTCACACTAACCGTGAAAACTATAATTTACGTTGTGTAGAATATGTTGTGTGTTATTGGATATGTAATTTATTGTGATAACTGTTCATAACAATGTTCATACCATTATTTTCAGGTAAATTAATGTATTAGGTTTATTTTGTAACTAAATCACAAATAAACATGTATTCTTGGTCCTGATTCATTTAAGATATATCAAGATTTTAACGTTTTGAATTTGGATTAAAGTGAGATTGATAACAATCAGTTAAGTCTAGGGAATAGTAGAATAGTGTTTTTGTTTATAACCTCTCATCGCCACTGACAGTGATGCATTGAAACATTGGACCAAACACTAATTGCACCACTCAACAATTAAATTGGCCTGAACAGCTGATTAGTTGTTTGAATCAATACAATTTTACTTCATATTGATGTTCTTTGGTCCAGGATCACTTCTTGAATAATAAAATTGTATAAGACAATTTTATTTCTTACTCTCAATTTTACTTCTTCTCTCTAAATCCTTGAACCTCATTGGTCCGTTATCTGTGTTGATATGAGTAAAAGTATGCTGTTATGAAAGTAAACAATGCTGTTATGGGACACTTTTCAATTCCAAGAACTGAACTGAAACGGCTACTTTAAAAAACGCCCCTAGGTAAAAACATAGAGGATACCATGAATAAACTGTTAACTGTATACTGGTCCCAATTATACAAGCAAGCAAAATGAAAAATGGTACATTTCAGAGTTGTAGGCTAAGAAATCTATGGAGAAAATTACAAATGGTAGAATGCAAAATAGTTAATGATAAGGCTAACCAAAGGAAAAAAAACAAACAAAATAAAAAAATTATCAAATGCAGTGCTGTAGATAAATTATAAAGGCTAAGAACAAACACAATTATGAAGAGGTACAGTCAATTCAGCATAAACGTGTCAATATGTATTGTTTCCTACATAATTTATGATAAATTACTAAAATTGCAGCAAGGTTTTCAGTTGTTTAAAAAAAATCTAAGTTCCTTTCCTGATAGTATTAAGCTCATATAGGCTACATTTAAAGTATATAAAATTTGTATATTTTATAATACATCATTTTCTCTAATTTTTGAAAAACAAGAAAACTCTTATTGGCTGCCTTCATTGCTAAAGAATTCTTGTAAGAGAGTAGATTTTAATCTAAATTTAGATTTCTTGTAAAAATTGTATTAACTAATAACCGATACATATTAACTATTCATATTCTGATTAAATTACGTTCGCTGAACATTAGGCGCCCATTGAAATCTATGTCAATTAGTCTTTGAGTTTTCTTTTGTTTCTTATTAGAAAGATGAAAAGTTCCTTTCCTTATCATTTTATTTATGAATAATGTTAAATAACTAAATCGACATGTGGATTTTAGTAGAATTT